CTGGGAACGTCAGCCGAAAAACGGAAACGTCAAGTTGACGCTTTCGCCGGAAGTGCTCAGCACGATAGAGAGGACAATGTCGAGCACATCATCACTGCTTGGTGTCGGCGTATCCTTCTCAGGCATTACCCCTCATTCTGCACTGCCCTGCCCTGCCCTGCCCTGCCCTGCGCTGCCTTGCACTGCGCTAGCTTGTGGCCTTCATTCGTTTTGAAGGGGGGAGGAACGGCGTTTAATCAACAATAAAAATCAGAAATCAAAAACTTAATGAATGTCCTTTTGTCATTATGCCCACAACGCCGACAATGATGATGCACAGCAGAGAGACCGCTGCCAGTTTCTGATGTCAGCGCTGATGGCATTATTGTACCGTTAAAGGGGCCCACGGCTTCAGGCAGAGGAGCATGTAGATGATGATGATGATGATGATGGTGATGGTGACGAGGCTGACAGCAACGACCGTTTACGCGGCTGATGGTGCCCCATTGAGTAATAACAATAATAAGTGGGGACCACACAAGTTGGGCCAACCCAAGTGGGCCAGCCCTTCAAGAGCGGGGGGATAGGGTCAAGAGAATGGTCCCTGCCCAGGTCTGGGCGGGTCAACGGGAACGGTGACTCGCTCAGGGTTCATCCGCCATGTGCGCTTGCCACTGTTTAAAGTTGAAAATTTCCACACGTTACGCACAGAATTGCGAGCATGCCACGCCGCAGTTGGCCCTGTTTCTGCCCCTGCCTCGTCCTTCTCACCACCTATCACGCTTTGGCTCCTGTTTGTCTCGCGAAAGATATATAAAAAAAAATAACACAGCACAGCAACAGCAGCAGCACATTTGCCAGAAAGAACTTTAATAAAATTATTGATTTTCCCTTGGCTGGCTTCACATCAAGTCCTTTAACAATGCTTTGCTTTTTTTTTTTGTTAACTAGCTGAAGTCCTTGCTGATTTAATTTTAGAACGAATACTTGTTGAAAATGATAACATCATTGGTATAATGAAAATCTTTTGAAGAAATTCAAGTATTTAGATCTGGTGGGAATTAAACGAGAGTTCTTAGTGGAATTCGTAGTTTAAACGAATCCCACATTATATTTATATTTTTTATTTTCATAGCGTTGCAGTAAATTAGCATTTCTTTGTGCAATACTTTATTGTGATGCGATTCTTTTACTATAATATGTCATATTAAAATTGCAGTAGTAATAACAATAAAATAAAGTAATTATAATAAAAATAAAACATATATAATCTCTAGTTGAGTTTTTTTTTTTCTTTAGATATTTGTAAGTAAAAAATAAATATTTATATTTATATTTATTAATTACTAACACTTGTACATAACTTAAACTTTAGTTGTAATAAGCCAGTATATAAATATGATTTATTTATTGGTTCCTAAATACATTTAAAAATGTTTTAATTAAATTGATTAGCTGTGTAGTTGAAGCGTCTTTTATTTATTTCCATTTGGCCACTTAATTTCATTTTTGGCACATTTTAATGTTTATAGCTATTTTATAAAGTACTGCAACAAAAGTGCACATTTTTACGCTAACATAAAATAATTAAAAGTAAATATATAAAACCAAATCATCAGTTTTTATTATTAATATTTTGCAATTAAAATGAGTTATTCACATATTATTTATCTGTATATCTGATCCACATTTTTAAGTACATATGTAATTAGCTATATAATTGAAGGAGCAACAAAGATTTGAAGCTTGAAATTTGCTAAAGCCCTCCCAGTGGTGCTCAGCGTCGGCACATTGCGGCCGCATTGAATGGGCGGTGTGGGCGGCAGTGGGGTGGGGTGGTTCAGTGAGGCTGTTAACTAAGTGGAAAGACGTCGACGTCGTCGTCGTCGTCGTCGGAGGCGATAAAACCGCAGCCAAAAAAGCAGCAACAATTCAGCGAAAGCAGCGCAAGCATTCGGCACAGCAACAACAGCAACAACAAACAGAACAGCAAATCGAAAAAAAAAAGATGAAGTCTTGGGCAAAGGCAAAGCTTAGCCAATCAGCGTACGCCGAGGGCGGAGTCTATCCGAACTGGTTTGCCAGCGCTTTTTATGTTTATTTCGTGATATTTTGCCGTTGTTGCTGTTGTTGTTGCTGTATGCTTTGCGTTTTTCGTTTACGTTTACACTTTGCTCATCTTTGCTTTGCTCAACATTTTTATGGGTTATCTCGCTCTGGCACGCAAGTGCAAGAGCGAAAGGGAGAGAGCGAGCACTGCCCGAATCTGCGAGAGTGTTTGTACGTGCTTCTGTGTGTGTGTGTGTCTGTTTGTGAGTCAGTTTGCCACCGAAATAGAGCAGCAGCAACACACAGAGCGAGAGGGAGAGAGAGCGAGAGACAGAGAGGGAGAGCGTGCATTATGTTTATTTTTATAGTAGGAAGGCGGATAAGTCAGATAATAAAAGCATGGGATTTTCTCCTCTTCCGTCTAATAATCTGCTCCAATTGACAACTGAAAATAGAAAACTTGCATTTAACATATTAAAATATATACATTTTAATATATAATATATATTTAAAATAATAATACATAAAACAAAATGCAGCTGCAATTCGGTTAGCGTTGCCAGCGCTGAGTAATTAAATGGCAATAGTTGCTTGAGTGCCGAACGACTCCCAACAAAGTATATACCCAGTCCCACACATACATATAAATCTTATTTATATATATATATACTTATTTAGTATATACTCGCTGTCGGCTTCCTGCGCAGCGGTTGGCTAAACCCAGCTCGCCTCGAACACCTAATCACATGTAATGCGCGCGCATTATCTGCGCTGTTATCTGCGTTCAGTGGTCAAACCAAAGCAAAAAAACACAGACATTCACACACACACACAAACACGCGCGGACACACGCAGACACACATGGACACTCGCCATCCATTTCCATTCGTCGAGGTGCCAAATGCGGAGTGGGTGTTGCTGTTGCCGTTGCCTCTGCTGCTGGTGCTGCTGCTGCTGCTTTCGTCCCTCTCCCCTCATTTGTGGCTGTGTCTCGGCTCCCCCCCTAACGACATAATAATAATAAGCGCAGTCGATTTACTCTTTCATCCCGGGCACAGGCGCGAAAGTGTTCCTGCATCGCTCGCACTCGCAATCGTATTCGCTGTCCGCTTAGCCGTCGCTTTTACGAGTGGCTCACGCCCACGCCCACTCTCAACAATAGCTCAGTCGGAGCTCTCTGTGTGTGCATGCGTCTGTGTGTGTGTGTATGTGTGTGTGGCATAATTCCACCCGAATTTGCGGCAAATCCATTGAATTTCGCTACAGCGCACAAAAAGTAAAAGAAGAAAAAAACAGGCGAACCAACAGTCGTTTACCAACAGAGTGAGGGGGAGTTGGGGGTCTCTGTACGTGTGTGTGTGTGTGTGTATGTGTATATATGATGAGCCTGTTGGAGAGACAAGTGCAATTCTGCGCCGAAACAGGTTTCCCCCAGTTGATGTGCGCGTATGTGTGTGTGTGTGTCTGTGTGTGTATGTGTGCGTCCTCTCTCAGTTCGTTTCTCTCTTTCTGGCTCACTCTCCCGCTGGCTGTCAATGTGTGCGTGTTTTGTTTTGGTCACACGCACACACACAAGCAAAGCCATTTACTCTCTTGCTCTCTATGAAAATAATAAATAGTAGTATTTTTACTACTCTTTGGTAAGCTGATACTTTTCTGCCTTTTCAGAGGATTTAAATTAAAACTTGCCGGTTTAATAAAAGTATTCATTGATGTAACTATATATACATATTTATTGATGTAAATACTTTTTTGCCAGATAATCAATATTCAACGAACTCTTGCTTTTTGTGTTATTGTTAAGAATTGGAATCTGGAACGCTTGATTTTATTGAATTTTTAAGAATCATTTTGTATATCTTCTGCTTATAACATTTCATTAATGGGTCAATAGAAATCATAATTTTGTTTAGTAATATAATATAATTTTAAATCTTAATTAATTAGAATTTGGTAATATTTGCGAACAATTCTAAATGTCGAGAAACCATCTTACTAATTTTTATCAGCTACTCCGTTCTAGATTAAAAAGAAAAAATAATTAAAACAGATAAGCATTATTATACTATATTATGCTGTCCATTCCGATTGCAGATTTTTCTAGTCTTAGATTAAATGAAAAAAATGCAATTACCTTTTTAAAATAATCAATTATAATAATTAGGACACCAAGATAATATTTTTAATAAAACAGACGTTCTTAGAGAACTGAAGGCGCTATTATAATTAATTAATAGTCAATATTTAGTATTTATAATTGTTAATTATTATCAACTTAACCTGGAATGAAATATAAATAACGAATTTCATACTATTTACAGTTTTGCTACTATTTGCAAGCACCATAAAATGAGAGTAGCCAACCCCGCAAGAGAGGGAGAAAAAGAGAAAGAGAGAGGGAGAGAGAGAGCGCGACTCACACATATGCAATGGCAAGCAGCAAATGAACAGAGACGAAAGCGAACATCGCACATCGGACGGCGCTGCCCGAATGCCGGTCGGGGCGGTTTACGCCGGCGAAGTGTGCAGCGGCGGGGCGAGGCGAGGTGCGCAGCGGCAATGCGTCGCTGCCAGTGCGAATGCGAAAGAATTTGTCAGTTGTGCGACAACTTGTGCTGTGGAAGGATGTCTTGACGCGCGTCCGTTCAGCACCAGCAGCACCAACAGCACCAACCAGCACCAGCACCAGCAGCAGCAGTGAAAGAGCAGTTGACGAATTGTCTCGTTATTAGTTATTGACAATCAGAATAATGGCTAGTCGCATTCACAGCTAGACAGACACGTACATATATATATATATGTATATCTATGTGTATATGTATATATATGGACAGTCAAAAGCCGATAGATAGTCAAACAATTAAAAGAGAAAACAAATCGAAATCGAGTAACAAAGTAAACAAAAAATCACAACAGCTTGCGCTTATCACAAGCAGCAACAACAAATAGCAACAACTACAAAAACAACAATAACAACAACACAAACAACAACAACAAATCAGTTCAGCTGACAAATAGTTGAATCAGTCGAATCAGAGAATCTGCTCAACATTCTCGATATCGTCAGTCGTCATTGGCAGCTCGAGCGGTTCTGTCGCGTTCTCCCCTTAAGTTTGCAAAGCTGCAAGGATCTGCTGCAAGCGATATAAACTGCAGGCGGTCTTCTTATCGCCGCCGTCGGTGTTCGACTTTTGACACGGTCTCCCGCCCCTGCCACCGCCCACACTCCCACAAACTGATACTGACACACAAACTGCGATTTGAAATGGCGAGCCCGTGCCGCCAGTGCTAATGATGTCGCGTCGAGAGCTGGGCCAGCGTCATCGAATCCGTTCCGGCAAACCCAGTTGCATGCCCAGGCTCAATTCCAAGTCGCGTCTCGAGTGTGTGAGAGTTTCTACTGTGCTTGTGTCGAATTTGCGTCTCCACTGTGGCCATTAAGTTGGCAAGTTGGCAACTCTGTGGCGATAATCGAAAATCAAAGCGTGCTTTATGCCTTATCGCAAATTATTTATGTACGAGTATAATAATTGATGCATTGCCAAGACCAAGACCAACCAAGACCAATTAATGCCAAAGCGAACTCTAAACGCATATAAAACTAAAACTAAAACTAAAACTAAACTAATAAATAAAGTCCAGAACTCACAGAACTAAAAGCAATCAAATAATCGATCGACCAAAAGATCGCCAACTTTCATCATGGACTTTCAAAGCGCAATGGAAACCTTCGCTGAAGCCTGGGTGGCGGCCAACGCCGGACAGCAGGTGAGTCCTACGACTGCTACTAATAACTATATAATGAGATATATCTCAATCCAAATCCAAATACTATACGATTATGTTTAAGGTGATCGGCAAATGCCGTCGTTCTTAACGTACTTTCCGCTTAAGATCAGCCGTGAAGAATTTCACTGAACTATATTTGCACATTAGTCACCGTTGAACTTAAAAAGCGACCGACGACTCCGACCACTAAACTGAATCAGTGTAAACAAACAAAAGTTGAAATTAAATGCTAGCAGTAAATACCGAACACTTGTATACCCTATTTTACTAACAATTTCGGATATAAATATGGGCACCTTAGATTAGGACCACCCAACAAAAGGAAAACTTAAGGATCTTTTTGTAATAACTTTATTTTTTGCTACTAGTTTCGAAAAGTATGTCTTAAGAAATGTTTTTTAAACTTATTTAAAACAAGATGCAATCTATTATTTAAATATAACTATATTGAGTATACCCAAAAAGTGAATATTTCAATTTCTTCAATTAATTTATCGAATTGGTTTATCATTAGATATTTGCAGATATTTCTGTAGAGCAATTCAATTGATTAAATTTAACTGAATTATATACATTTCTTCACTTGATATTTAGAGCAGATTTCCGAAATGCCAACGTAATATATACGCAAATAGAAATATTTATAAGCAGGTTCAAAGTAAATAGGAAAGTAAATAACACTTTCCAACAAGAGGGTAGAGCAACGCACAAAGAAGCGCTGAATGCTGTTCCCTGAAACGGGTTCATTTGAACGATAAAAAACCCGTGTATATATATATATATATATATTTGTGGTTAAGTGCGACGATTTGTTCGCTATTTATGCAGATTAAGAGATAATCCTTATCGGCGCCGCTTCGGTGCTGCGAGCTCAGATTGGAGATTGGAGCACGATAAGCATTAGCCCAGCTGCTGTAAACAATGCTTTTGGTATGATGTACATAGATATATGTATGTATACAAATGTGGTACAACGGGTATATACCCATCCCATGTGGTGTGTTGGCTAATTGCTCGTGTAATGCCGTCTTGGCCAAACCCTGCCGCACCTTAAAGCACCCACCCACCTACCACATTCGGCTGCACACCGAACCGATATCCAAGTTGGGGCTTCGTTGGGGTTATGTGCGTTGAAAAGCTTTTAGCTACAGATAAGATAATCCCTTGTGGTGCGACGGCAACTGCGACTTGCCGCTTATTGCTAATTTGGGCATAAGGTGATGACGCCTCCCCCCACCCACAGCGACAGCCCCTCCTCAAACACACACAAACAGACACAAACAGACACACATATGGACACGATAAGTGCGATAACACCATGTAACTGTAACTGTTACTATAATTTGAACTGTGATTATTTCACTTTAGCTCGCATAGCGTCATCTGCTTTTTATCGAACGGCGACTTCGACGACGACTGCAACGTCGACTGCGAATGCGACAGCGACGGCGACAGCGACGTTGGCGACCGTCACCCTATTATTGATATCGCAACTAATCCAAATAAGTGCGATAAAATTGATTATGAACATGCTGGCGTGATTAGTGCAGGGCACAATTGTGGATAACACACACATACACACACACACACACACACGCACACACATATACACACACATACATATGGACATACAGTGATACACTACATGTGTCCCCGGTATTTATTAGCAGGCATAATTGATTATGTTGTGTGAGTGTAATTATTATTTATCTGCATCAGCTTTACCACTCACTCTCTCTCTCTCTCTCTCTGTCTTTCCCTCTCCCTCTCTCTCTCCTTCTCTCTCTCTCTCTCTCTGTTCCATATGCTTATAACTGCATTAGTCAGGCAGCAGCGATGCCTATTCAGTTTTATCATTATTTATTTGATAGATTTACAAGTGAGTTTTGTCTATTTAATAACATTTCTGAGTTGCTCACAAAATACAAAAATTCTGCACCAGAAAATATACTAAACTAATCCACAAAGTGCAATTATTTAATTGTATTAACGGCTTTACCATTTAACGTAATTTATTTCATGCACCGTTTATTTTTTTTTATCAAAATGTTTAAACAATTTTAAATTAAATTGTTAGACTGCCGCCCAATCGATGAGAGTATTATTATATACTAATCCATTACAAATTAGCTCAAAATAGTTATTATTATAATAGTTAAATATTTGAATAATTAATTTTTTTTAATTGGAAATCTTTACACAATTTATAAATAAATGATGCAACCCTCTGCAAGTGTATCAGAAATGGAAAAAACCTAAAAATTGTGTTATATATTTAATAAATCAACGCATTAGCAATTTTGTGTTGTCGATATCAATAAACACTCACACACACACACATACACACACACACTCACTCATTTTGGACTTATCGGCATTGTCTTCTTGCCTAAATCGTGCCTCGATTTCCACTATTCGAAATTGTTATAGACAAAGCTCGACAAGAATGTAGTTTTTTTTCCCTCTTCTATTTTTGACAGTTTTATGTGTCGGCGCATACGCTTAGTGAATCGTGAATGGGATTAAGATAAGACTAAGTTGAGCGTTCATATGGAAGGTAATAAAGCTTTGGGTATGTGGGTCTGTCTGTGCCTGTGGCGCATGTATGGGTTCTTCTTTATATGTATTTTTAGTTATATTATTATTTTTTTTTTTTATAATTTGTGTGTGTCTCAATCGGTGCGCATAAATAACGCAAAGTGAACAATAAAAACCGAAAAGAAACCCAATCTATAACAAATCATTTTCTATTTATTAAACATATTACACATATATGGGACTGCTTCCATTATCTGGCATGCGTAGCTTCTTTTGATTTTGCAACTAATTATAAAGCATTTAGTTTTATTGTTGTGATAATTTCCAACGCGGCACGATATCGAATCGGCAAAAACAAAACAAAAACCACAACCCAAATAAAATCCAAAAGACAGCAGATAATAATATGCGAGCCGCTTTGTAGTTATATCAGCTGCTGCTGATAGTACGATAGCTAAGCGACTTTTAAATTATAAATTTCATTCAGATTAAGGTGCTGATTGTGCTGACAGCCACACACACACACACACAAAATCACATACAGCTAAGTAGGTGATCTAGAAAATGTACAAAGACACAACACTTGCTGCCAACTTCCTGCTTACAAACGCATCATTTCCGCACGCAGGTTAATCAATAAACGACAGCGCAACGAATCATGAATTCATGAATGGTTCAACATCAATAGAAGACCACAGATAGTTTTTTATTATTTTTGATTTTTATTTTTTTTTCCTTTGCCCCTGGCAGTATTCGTTAAATTCCGGTAGTCAAATGTCCATTAAATGCCGCTCATAAATGTCCAAACTGTTTGTCATCTTATTGCGTTTGGTGGATCCCCCTCCCTCCTCATCAACTATTCCATGGCTCTTATGGCACGCCTATTTATCGCCTCGCCGCCACAGACTCTGCATTGTTGTCTTGGCTTTCTTTTCTGCAGGTGTGTGTGTGTATCTGTGTGTGTGTCAGCTTGGACACCTTTTAAAACTCTTTCTGCTGCCGCATTGACTGCGAGCATGCTGCATGCATTTATCAGGGCTTAGTCGTGTTCCTTTCACACACGCACACAGGCGGACAGACAGGCGGACAGACAGACAGACAGACAGACACATATCTCTTAGCCGCATTTGCTTCTCTTTTTATTGTAACACACATTTTTAGCATTTCATTCTTCGCTTTCTCGCTCAGCCAGCCAGCTAGCCCCACTTCGCCTCGTCTCTCTCGCCCTAAGCCACGTTTTGGAGTTGAGTTCAGCGCCTTTATACGATCCGATTATGTGTTATTCAGTTTGCGTATGCGATTTTTAAATTTATTAATTATTCAAATCCGATTGGATTATAATAATTTATAATCATTATTACCATAAGTAGCTCGGCTTGCAAGTTCGAGCTGTATCTCAAACTGAAACTGAAACTGAAACCAAAACTGGACTTGGACTTGGACCTACACAACTGAAAATGGGCAGGGCCTGCATTAGCTTATTGCGCTTATAACTATCTATCCAATATTTAAAAAGACACGACTAATATAAATACGCAACAACCAGTTTTGGATTATTATTAATCATATTTAATTGAAATTAAACTTGTTTATTGTGCGCATTTTATTTATTTCACAACATTTATCTATGCCTCATTCAAATATTTGTGTGAAATAATTAAAAAACTGACAACATATACAAGAAACTTACAACTCTTAACATTACAAAATATCTATATAAATTTTAACATACCTGGCCTTATTTAAATTAATAATATCAATAGTAAAATTAAAGATTTGAGATTATTCTAAATATATCATATCCCAAAGTAATGATTAACCATATTTAACAAATATAAATTAATGTCTTTGGATCAACAATATGATAATGATCTTATCCAATAAACTTTAAGCTTTGTGTTTTTGGTAATCAACGCTCATCATTCCAATCATTACACCCTTGTTGGTAACAGTGCAGGGTATAGATATCTAAGCACTTGCCGAAAAATCGTGGTGACATCGAGAAACGCTTTAAGTTAATTACAACTTGTCAAGTTGTCTGTAAGTTTGGCAGTGCCGGCTCAAATGAAATGGCTTTAAATCAATTTCGTGGCATGTTTTTTTGGTTACCTATTCCCGGGGATCGTTTCAAAAATGCCGCCCTCTGTGATAATGTGATAATCAACAAAGTATGTGTGCGTGTTGTTCTTGTTGTTGTCTGCCTTTGCACGTTGTACCAGACCATGCCCCTGGCTCCCCCTGCCCCATTTGCCCATGCCCCTTTACACCTAAGCGTGCAACTCACAACGAGTTTGGAGGTTTTCTTTTTCTTTTTTTGTTGTGTTGTGTTTGTTGCTGTGGAAGCTATCGTAAAACATTTTTGTTTCGCAGCTAATGACACATTGATAAAACGATTTGTAAGACATTGCGATAAGTGCGGTTCAAGCTTTGTAGCTTAAGGC